GAGGAACCCTAGACACTTGAGAAAGCTGAAAGACTTGAAATCTTATAAACCTGAGCTTTAAGAACTTGACAAAATTGCACATTTTAGAAAGTTTAGATACTTCGTATGTTTGACAGATCTGTGAAACTTTAGAAGGTTGAGAAGCATTAGTCGCAATTTAAAAAACCTTAAAGGGAAAATTTCAGAAATTTGAACAATTTGACCATGTTAAGAAAAATAAGGAACTAGACAAATCTGTGAAACTTGCAAAACTTTAGAAACCTAAAAAATGTGAGGAACCCTAGACACTTGAGGAAGCTGAAAGACTTGAAATCTTAAAAACCTGAGGTTTAAAACTTGACAAAGTTGAACATTTTAGAAAGTTTATACACTTCGTATGTTTGACAAATCTGTGAAATTTTAGAAAATTGAGAAGAATTAGTGGCAAATTAAAAAACCTTAAAAGGAAAATTTCAGAAATTTGAACGATTTGACCATATTAAGAAAAATAAGGAACTAGACAAACCTGTGAAACTTGCAAAACTTTAGAAACCTAAAAAATGTGAGGAACCCTAGACACTTGAGAAAGCTGAAAGACTTGAAACCTTAAAAACCTGAGCTTTAAAAACTTGACAAAGTTGAACGTTTTAGAAAGTTTAGATACTTCGTATGTTTGACAAATCTGTGAAATTTTAGAAAATTGAGAAGCATTAGTGGCAATTTAAAAAACCTTAAAAGGAAAATTTCAGAAATTTAAACAATTTGACCATATTACGAAAAATAAGGAACTTGAAAATCCTGTGACGCTTGCAAAACTTTAGAAACCTAAAAAATGTGAGGAACCCTAGACGCTTGAGAAAGCTGAAAGACTTGAAACCTTAAAAACCTGAACTTTAAAAACTTGACAAAGTTGAACTTTTAAGAAAGCTTTAGATACTTCGTATGTTTGACAAACCTGAGAAATTTTAGAAAATTGAGAAGCATTAGTGGCAATTTAAAAAAACCTTAAAGAGGGTTTTTATACAAGAAAATTTCAGAAATTTGAACAATTTGACCAATTTAAGAAAGATAAGAAACTTGAAAAAACTGTGAAACTTGCAAAACTTTAGAAACTTAAAAATTGTGAAGAACCCGAGACACTTGAAAAAGCTGCAAGACTTGAAATCTTAAAAAATTGAGCGTTAAAGAACTTTGACCAAGTTGAAAATTTTAGAAACGTCAGAAACTTTGTATCTTTGACAAACTTGAGGATTTTTAGAGAATTGAGAAGCATTAGTAGCAATTTAAAAAATTTAGAGGGTTTTTAAACTAGAAAATTCCAGAAATTTTAACAATTTGACCAAATTAAGAAGCATAAGCAACTTGAGAAACTTGCAAGACTTTAGAAACTTGAAAAATGTGAGGAATCCGAAACACCTGAAAAACCTAAAAACTTAAAAACATGAACTTTTAAAACTCGACAAAGTTAAACATTTTAGAAAGTTTAGAAACTGCGTATGTTTGACAAATCTGTGAAATTTTAGGAAATGGAGAAGCAATAGTGGCAATTGAAAAAACTTAAAAAGTATTTTTAAACTGGAAAATTTCAGAAGTTTGAACAATTAGACCAAATTAAAAAAACAAGGAACTTGACAAACCTTTGAAACTTGCAATACTTTGGAAACTTAAAAAATGTGAGGAACCCGAGACACTTGAAAAAGCTGAAAGTCTAGAAACCTTAAAAAAATGAGCTTTAAAAAACTTTGACGAAGTTGAAAAGTTTAGAAACATCAGAAACTTTGTATCTTTGACACACTTGAGGATTTTTAGAAAATTAAGAAGCATTAGTAGCAATTTAAAAAAATTAAAGTGTTTTTCAACTAGAAAATAGTAGAAATTAGAACAATTTGACCAAATTAAGAAGCATAAGCGACTTGAGAAAAGCGAAAAACTTCTAAAACTTTAGAAACTTACAAAATGTGAGGAACTCGAGACATTTGTAAAAGCTAAAATTCTTGAACTCTTAAAAATTGAGCCTTAACAAACTTTGACGAAGTTGAAAATTTTAGGAACATCAGAAACTTTGTATCTTTGACAAACTTGAGGATTTTTAGAAAATTGAGAAGCATTAGTAGCATTTTAAAAAAGTTAAATGATTTTTAAATTAGAAAATTCCAGAAATTTCAACAATTTGACCAAATTAAGAAGCATAAGCAACTTGAGAAACGCGAAAAACTTTCAAGACTCTAGAAGACGTTTATCCTCGAATATCTAAAGACTCGTTTGGCAAGTTATCACTGGGTTTAAATTATTATTTGGAGGTGGTAGCGTGCCAAAGCTCTGGTTCTTTTTCAATCATGATACATCACCCAGCGAAGACTCCGTCCACCGATCGTGCAATTTTCTTACAAGAAAACAAAAACTATAAAATTGTGCTCACGCCGAATATTGCTTTAAGCTCTGAGAGATTGCGAAATTATTTACCTCAAAGAAAAAAAATCAGATATCATATTCGAGCCACTGAAGATTTTCTGGCCAGACAATTCATAGTAGAATTTAAACGCCCTGAGTTTATTGTTTTAGAAAGACAACAGTTGTTCGGGGACGTTTGTCTCCTTTGCAGAAATTGTCTACTATTTGGTCTTTCGTTGCTTGCACCAACTGTTTCAATTTTTAGTGGCTAAAATTAGAATTTTGTTGCGCTAAAATTATAAATATTCAGCAATAAAATTAATTTCGACAAATTTAATATTAGTAATGTGTGAAACTAAAAAACAAGCACGAAATCTGCATTAGGTGAAACTGGAGAATTAACTCACCAATTCGTAGTTTAATTATTATTATCCATTAAAATGATTAAAACATGCGAAGTGCATTTCATGTAACTAAACAACTATCGCAGTCAGGCGGCGTTAAAATGCCACCACCAGAAGAGAAAGAATCAACCAAAATTAAAAAAAAATGCAATTGTTTGGAACCTGTTCGTGATAATGTGTCAGACTTCATGGACGCCACCACCATTCACGGATTTAAATATTTGATTGGAAATGACCGAACGATCTTCGAAAAGTAAGTCTATTACAACTTTGTCAAACAATAGTACTATTTTTTTTTTTGTAGAATTCTTTGGTGTGCAGTCTTGGTTGCGTCATTTTACACGTGCTCGTTGATGGTTAAGTCGACCTGGCAAAAATGGCAGGAAAATCCCACATTTATAGGTTTCGGCCAAACTCCTGTGCTTTTATGGCAAATCCCATTCCCAGCCGTCACTATTTGTCCCGGTTATTTGTTGAACAAAGAGTCAAACTATACGTTCTCATTCACCGTCGACAATGACAAGTAAAGTGACCTAGAGATATCCTCTTTATTCGTGTTTGTGTTTTAGTTGGCGCGTGGGAAATGCCTCAACTGTATGTGACGCCTATGACGGAACCAATGAAGACGAGTTTCTAACCGAATTCGACACAATGGATTTTTCTGAGGGACAAAAGTGGGAAGAGTTTTTGTTGGAGGTAAAATTCACACTCGTTTAAAGAATTAATTTTTCTGGATCTTTCCAGACAACAGTCCTGCGCAGCCAATTTATAAAGAACTTGTTGTTCGGCTCGAAACCAACATCCATGTCACCGTTTTTATCAAAATCGGTTTGTTATTCGTTCAATATGCTTGACAGATCGAGTATTCTGCGAGACGTCGCGTAAGAATGACACTTTTCAAAAACGCGTACCATTTTAGAAATTTTTAGCCACTTGGGAAGCGATTTCGGGAACCAGAATAGTACTTCTTGTTGGAGTTTCGATGAAGGTTATTGTAAACGAAACGAGTCCGTTTATCCTCGTAGAGCTAGAGCTACTGAGGTCAAACTCGAGATGAATTTAAATTCGGAACTAAATAAAGTGGCATGTATGGGTACTAATGAGTACTACATCCACCTGCACCATCCCGGAGAGTTCCCCGACGCGAACAACCGAATCTTAATAGAAATTAAAAAAAAGAACGAAATCATCATCAAACCCGAAATAACCATCACATCAGAAAGTTTAAGAAATTTACCACCTAGCCGAAAAAAATGTGTCTTTTCAACGGAACGCTACTTACAATTTTACAAAATCTACACACAAGGAAATTGTAAGTTGGAATGTCTGGCTAACTACACTCTGAGAAACTGTGGCTGCGTCCCTCACGAACTCCCACGTGAGTATAAAATCCTCCTCAACATTACAAAATCTGTGGCTTTGTAGACACCAAAACCGCTAAACTTTGTGGCAAGTTTAACTCAACGACCGTTGAATGTATGTCAGAGGCTGAGGGTAAAAAAACGACCACACGAAATCTCAATACGCATCATTTTTTTTATAGGAATGATGGACGAGCTGGAGTCTGGATTAAGCAAAAATTACCTGAATCTGCCCCTGTGCAAATGTTTGCCGTCTTGCAATTCCAGAAACTACGACGCTAAAGTCAAATTGTCCAATTCTCGCAAAAATAAGACTTATGTTACGCTACAATTCAAAGAGACCGAATTCAGCGTCATGGAAAGGAAGGAGTTGTTCGGGGATGTCGATTTTTGGGCCAGCTGCGGGGGAATCCTGGGACTGTTTACGGGATTCTCGACCATATCGCTTGCAGAAATCGCATACTTTTTGTTGTTTCGGTGGCTGTTTGCTTGGATTAGACGGTTGTGGAAAATAATGCGTCCGAATATGTTAACATAGATATTTACTTTATGGTGTTTAATATAAGATTTGCCTTTTACAAGCTGTGAAAACTAAGAATAAATAAAATGCAACATTCTTGTTTTTCTGATTCATTAACGTATGTATTATAATTACCAGTACTGCGCCAATGTCTATGATTCGAATGGATCGCTCGATATTAAATTCTAGTGAGTACATTCAACATCCAGTAAATGTAATAGTTTTTATACACGGAAATGAAAAAACTAAATTAAAAATCTAATTAACTAGTTTAGTACAATTTTTTTGTTTGATTAATTTAAATAGCTCGTACATTATTGATAATTACAAAAAGGCTTTAACGAAATGGAGAAATTATTAATTTGTACCCAGGTGACTTCCAAGTATATTTAAACGACTAATAACGCAAACATTGTTCTACATTTATTCGAGAGTTGGTTGTAGAATGTCGGGACAGTCCATAACAGCTGCACCAGAAACTGTAGACGAAAAACCAAAACCGAAAAATGTAGAACGAAAACCAAAATCAAAATTTCGTCATTGGCGTGGTTACATGTCCGACCAAGTTTCAGAATTTATGAGCAATAGCAGCATCCATGGGTTTAAATATCTCGTGGGAAATGAAAGGACACTTTTTGAAAAGTAAGTATTTTTGAGAATTTTCCAAAAAATTAATTTTGTTGTAGAATTATGTGGTTTGGGGTTTTGCTCGGTTCGATCTACATGTGCTCGTTGTGGATTATATCGGCCTATCAGGCGTGGGAGGAAAATCCAGCTTTTATTGGGGTCGGTCAAGCTCCTGTGCGTGCCTGGGAAATCCCGTTTCCGGCTATTACCATTTGTCCCCAATATACGTACAACAAGTACTCAGCCTATAGATTTCCCAACATAGAAGAGTTACGGTGAACCAAACAGTATGTCATCTCTATTACATTTTTTTTTGTAGACAGAACATCACGACCCTTCTAGATTTGTGCATTTACTTTCAAGAAAATAATAAATATGATAACATAGATTTTTTCGAAGGAGAACCATGGGAAAAATTTTTGACAGAGGTAAATTTCGGCTTACACCAGACTTGTTGTGTTGGATTTTTTTTGTAGACAGCACTTTCACCCAACCAATTTATTTTAAAATCGTTTCTGACTGACGGGACTGATACGATGGATGTTGGTTTTTCAACCATACTGAACAAATGGGGAGTCTGCCATTCCTTTAATATGCTGGACAAGGCAGACCTTTTTCGCAATGCCACGTGAGTTCGTACGTTATCGCTGACTGTACCATACAAATTGAAATTTTAGACACATATTTCAAAGTTTCGGGAAACAAAACCAGGTCTCTTATTGGAGCTTCGATCAAAATTACTATAAAAAAAAAGAATCTGTGTACCCTCGACGCTTGAAAACTTTAATAGATAACTTAGTTGTCGATTTAGAGTCTGAATTGGATTATATAGCGTGTTCGAGTTCTAATAAATATTACATTAACTTGCACCATCCAGGCGAAAGTCCAACTCCGGGTGGTATAATCGCGGTCCAGTCAGGAAAAGACTACACCATTTGGATCAAACCTGAAATTACCATGGCTTCAGAACGACTAAGATCATATTCCCCGTCCCGAAAAAAATGCTTCTTTTCAGACGAGCGCTATTTACAATTTTACAAAATTTACACAGAAGAAAATTGTAAATTAGAGTGTCTGGCTAACTACACTCTAACAGTCTGTGGGTGTGTCCCTGCACATTTTCCGCGTAAGTACTTAGCATCAATATTATATCTGATTTTATAAAATACATAATTGTAGACAACAAAACCACCAAACTTTGCGGAAGAAACCGCACCGGGTGTCGGCAAAAATCAGAAAGTACGTTTTCGAATTTGTCCAAACCAAAAATGTATCGATTTTTTAGGAACCATGGCTCGTTTCGAGTCTGGTTTGAACGAAGATCCCGTCTGTAATTGTCTGCCGTCTTGTAATTCAATAGTTTACACTTGGGAAGTCGAGACTAGAAAATCTGATATTGTGCATCGTATCTCTGTTAAAGTGCAATATAAAAATGCGAAATTTAACGTACTGGAAAGAAATGAGTTGTTCGGAGATGTGAATTTTTGGGCTAGCTGTGGTGGGATTCTTGGATTATTTACAGGATTTTCAGTTCTGTGTCTTGTTGAAACGATTTATTATTTATTTTTTCGGTTGATGTACAAGCTGTTCAAAATGTTATGGAAGAAGCTGCATCTTAAAGGGTGATATAATCGACTTAGACAGAATATTTATGTCATCATTTATACATATATGAATGTTTCTAAGTAGATGCATTAAATTTTGATGTGTACTTACATAAGTGTGTTTAAAATATATGTTATATGTGCTACATAAAGTTACTGATTTTCCTTCCACCAGGTCTGTATCCAAAAATACATAGTAAGTGAAGTCAAATTTGTATTTAATTTTTTTTTTCAAATTATAATTAATATTAATCCGTAAAAAAATTAACCAATAACAACCGAAACCAAAATTAAGCTTCTGTCCTTCCATTTTTCCAAAGTTTCCAATACGAAATTTGGAAATTTTGAAGAGATTTAAAAAATTTTGAATTTAAAAACGAATATTTAGAAAATCTTGCTCCGCAACCATAAACAACCTATATTTTTCGAATCAGCACCTCGAGATCTGTGTCACAGATTTTTTTGCTGATATTTGGGCAATTTTTCCAAAAGCTTCATTTTTTAATATCCTCACCTTATGAAATTTTCGGTTATTGTTCGACCACCTTCTAAAATTTGCCAACCAGATTTTATTGTTGGTTTATATCTCCAGAAGTTATTTTAGGCTTCATTTCCCGGAAAATTTCTTGCGTTTTTCCATAAATTCCCAATACGAAATTTGGAAATTGTGAAGAGATTTAAAAAATTTTGAATTGCAAAACGAATATTTAGAAAATCTTGCTCCGCAACAATAAATAAGCTGTATTTTTCGAATCAGCAGCTCGAGATCTGGATCACAGAATTTTTTGCAGATATTTGGACAATTTTTCCAAAAGCTTCATTTTTTAATATCCTCCCTCTATGAAATTTTCGGTTATTGTTCGCCCACCTTCCAAAATTTGCTAACGAGATTTTCTTGTTGGTTTAGATGTCCAGAAATCATTTTAGGCTTCATTTCTTCGAAATTTCTTGCATTTTTCCAAAAATTTTCAATACGAAATTTGGAAATGTTGAAGAGATTTAAAAAATTTTGAATTTCAAAAGGAATATTTCGAGATTCTTGCTCCTCAACCATAAACAAGCTGTATTTTTCGAATCAGCACCTCGAGGTCTGCATCACAGAATTTTTTGCAGATATTTGGGCAATTTTTCAAAAAGCTTCATTTTTTAATATCCTCCTTTTATGAAATTTTCGGTTATTTTTCGCCTACCTTCCAAAATTTGCCAACGAGATTTTCTTGTTGGTTTAGATCTCCGGAAGTTATTTTAAGCTTCATTTCTTCGAAAATTTCTTGCATTTTTCAAAAAGTCCCAATACGAAATTTGGAAATTTTGATGAGATTTAAAAATTTTGAATTTCGAAACGAATATTTAGAAAATCTTGCTCCGCAACCATAAATAAGCTGTATTTTTCGAATCAGCACCTCGAGATCTGGATCACAGAATTTTTTGCAGATATTTGGACAATTTTTCCAAAAGCTTCATTTTTTAATATCCTCCCTTTATGAAATTTTCGGTTATTGTTCGCCCACCTTCCAAAATTTGCCAACGAGAGTTTCTTGTTGGTTTAGATCTACAGAAATTATTTTAGGCTTCATTTCTTCGAAAATTTCTTGCATTTTTCCAAAAATTTCCAATACGAAATTTGGAAATTTTAAAGAAATTTAAAAAATTTTGAATTTCAAAACGAATGTTTAGAAAATCTTGCCCCGCAACCATAAGCAAACTATATTTTCCGAATCAGCAACCCGAGATCTGTATCCCAGATTTTTTTGCAGATATTTGAGGCAATTTTTCCAAGAGCTTCATTTTTTGATATCTTCACCTTCCAAAATTTGCCAACGAGATTTTCTTTTTGGTTTAGATCACCAGGAGTTATTTTAGGCTTCATTTCTTCGAAAATTTCTTGCTTTTTTTCCAAAAATTTCCAATACGAAATTTGGAAATTTTGAAGAGATTTAAAAAATTTTGGATTTCAAAACGACTATTTAGAAAATCTTGCTCCGCAACCATAAACAAGCTGTATTTTTCGAATCAGCACCTCGAGATCTGCATCACAGAATTTTTTGCAGATATTTGGGCAATTTTTCCATAAGCTTCGTTTTTTAGTATTCTCCACTTATGAAATTTTCGGTTATTGTTCGCCCACCTTCCAATATTTGCCAACGAAATTTTCTTGTTGGTTTAGATCTCCAGAAGTTATTTTAGGCTTCATTTCTTCGCAATTTTTTTACATTTTTCCAAAAATTTCCAATACGAAATTTGGAAGTTTGGAATAGGTTTAAAAAATATTGAATTTCAAACCGAATATTTAGAAAAGCTTGCTCCGCAACTATAAACAATCTGTATTTTTCGAATCAGCACCTCGAAATCTGCATCACAGAATTTTTCAGATATTTTGGCAATTTTTCCAAAGGCTTCATTTTTTAATATCCTCCCCTTATGAAAGTTTCGGTTATTGTTCGCCCACCTTCCAAAATTTGCAAACTTGGTTTTCTTGTTGGTTTAGATCTCCAGAAGCTATTTTAGGCTTCATTTCTCCGAAAATTTCTTGCTTTTTTCCAAAAATTTCCAATACGAAATTTGGAAATTTTGAAGAGATTTAAAAAATTTTGAATTTCAAAACGAATATTTAGAAAATCTTGCTCCGCAACCATTAACAAGCCATATTTTTCGAATCAGCACCTCGAGATCTGTATCACAGGATTTTTTGCAGATATTTGGGTAATTTTTCCAAAAGCTTCATTTTTTAATATCCTCCCTTTATGAAATTTTCGGTTATTGTTCGCCCACCTTTCAAAATTTGCCAACGAGATTTTCTTGTTGGTTTAGATCTCCAGAAATCGTTTTAGGCTTCATTTCTTCGAAAATTTCTTGCATTTTTCCAAAAATTTCCAATACGAAATTTGGAAATTTTGAAGAGATTTAAAAAATTTTGAATTGCAAAACGAATATTTGTAATATATAATTATTATATTAAGAGTCCGTGTTTTTTTTTCGTACAATAATATCAAAAATATTTAATCTTGTTGAGACAATTTCTATCTAACACTAATTGAAAAATAATAATGCTCTAAATTGGCAAATATAATTCACTCACCATTTAAAAATACATATATATTTGTTACACAATAATTATAAAACTTAATAACTATAATTATAACATTTATTTCAAGAGGACAGCAGAATCCATAATAATAATGCTAAAACTTCACAGTGCCCATATATTTCGAGTACATAACGTTTAATGCATTACGCTTGGAAACATTTAACTAAGATTATTATTAACATTACACTAGTTTAATAGTTTATCCACATTACTTTGAACTCCAATCAAATCCAACCGAAAATCTAAAATACTTAACATATTGTTTACACTTCAACAGGATTAACAAACTCTCAAAACCGTAATTTTCGTTTTTATGTGCAGTGGGTGACTATTTTGTAGAGATTTAAACCGAAAACAACATAGTGATAAATATAAGAAGTCTGTTTAGATTCAGCCGCTGCAACAACCTCCTGCCAAAATTATACATCCAACGAAAAAATAAATAGTATAGAATTTCCACGAAGGACATAATAGAAAATCCTATGAAAAGACCAACGAGTCCGCCACAGTTAGCCCAAAAATTGACATCCCCGAACAACTCCTGCCTTTCCAACGCAATAAATTCTGATTCTTTAAAATATACCATAACAACTGTCTTTCCATCAGAGTCCGCTGACCTAACATCAACGTTATACGAAACCGAATTACAAGGAGGTAGACAATTGCAAGGAGGTAGGAGTGAATCATTCCTAATTCCAGCTTCCGTCTGAAGAACCATTTCTAAAAATTTTTTCTCATTAAACATTTTTCACTAAGTCAAAATTACCTTCAACTTCGAAGGCGCATCTTCCGCCTTCACTCCTGTAACGTCTGGCACAAAGTCTAGTTGTTTTGTTATCTGTAAACTTCTAGTTAATATAATTAAAAAGTTGTAATGAGAAAGCAATTACGGGGTAAAAAGGAAGGGACGCATCCACATATTTTTAGTGTGTGGTTCGCCAAGCACTCACTTTTGCAGTTTTGGACTGTGTAAATTTTGTAAAAACGCAAATAACGGTCTTCATTAAAATAGCATTTTCTCCTTTGAGGTGAATAACTGCGTATACTATCCGAACTGACGATTATATTCGGAGTGATCAATACATCATAACTTTTGTTGTCGTTTATGTTAATTTCGAGAGCTCTAGTGGAAAAATCGGCAGGATGATGTACCTTTATTGTCAACGAATTAGACCCTACACACCCTACGTCTTTTATAGAATTTAAGATTAAAAACAGCATGTTCTTTATAGTCGCGGATCTTCGGGGATAGACGGCTTCGTTTGTTGCATCGTAATTTTTATTCAAAGTCCAGTGGGAGATTTTGGGTTGGTTTGCAAATGTGGTTGGTATATAACTGGAAAATATTTTCGAGCTATTAAATAGAAGCACGATAAGTTTTGCTTACGTAACGTTACGAAAAATATAATTTTTGTCCAACATGTTGAAAGAATAACAAACTGACAATTCTGTTAGTACACGAGAAAACAATTTTTGACAGTCCTCTTCCGAGTTCCAACCACAAAAGCTGAAAATCTGTTTAGGTAAAATGGAGGTCTGAAAATGCAGAAAGTGTGTGAGGAACAAGTTTTGACTTATGTTGATATCTTTCTTCAAACTACTAACATACTACCTGTAACAAAAATTTCTCCAGATTTGGATTTTCAAAGAAGTCGAACAGATGGAATTCACTAAAACAAGGTCTGTGATTCTTTCTGGTCCTTTCCTTACAATAAGATGAAACATTTCCCACTTTCTCGCTATAATCAAAAAAATAATTTAAAATTTATTTGGGGCTATTTTCGGTGACGACCTTTCACCGTTGATGAAGTAGCGAAACGTAAAATTTGATTCTTTATTATAATTATAACCAGGACAAACAGTAACAGCTGGAAACGGTATTTCCCACGTACGAACAGGTGTCTGGCTAAAGCTTAAAATAGTCGGAGTTTCTT